AAATAATTCAAACATAATGGCATAAACATATCGAAAAAAATGTTTTTTTTATTATATTTTATAAATCAAAAATAATTAAAATTTGAGTAATAGTTAGAGTAATAAATAACTAAATCGCGTGATATTTAGTTAATATCAAACACTGAGAGAAAAAATTGCCCCAAAATAGTTACCAATTTTTTTTTGTTATTTTGTTGGCCTCTCTATTGCTTTATATATAAATTTATATATTTATAACTTATATCTCTTATAAATATGTGATATAAGTTTATTCGCGTTAATAATATTAAAGCGATTGCGTGACTCTAATACAGTATATTATTTTTTTCCTACTCTTCTCTCTCTATGTATTATATATGTGATACCGATATCCAAAAACACACAACAAAATAGTAATACAAAGTAGTATTTTATGTTTTAAATTGTATGTACATTATAACTGGCTTATTGTATTTATTATTTAGTGCTCTCGTTATATATGATATTGTTGTATAAATACAATAATAATAATAATCAAATAGAGACTAGCAATTTAATCATTTATAAAAAAAAATTATGGGACAGTTTAATGTTGATTATAATCACACACACATACAGTTGATATGCCGGTCATTTGCGGGTCATATATGCCAACAATCGGTGTTGATTTGGGAAGAAAGAGAGAGAGAGAGAGAGATCCGAAAATTTGCATTTAATAGGAAAAATCCAATTCATTGGAGACTAGGAATTAAACTTTGATTTTTCTCCCAATATCTCTCTCTCTCTCTCTCTCTCCCACTCTCTCGCTCTCAGCACATCTGTTGCAACTATAGTAGGCATACATTAGAGGATCTGATCTCCCGCTGCGATCAATTGGTGCTACCATTAGACCCATTGATCGATTCCACACTAAGGATTACTGAAGTTTTTATCGATCTATTATTGCATTGGAAATGACAATCAAAAGCAATCGGTTCCTCTCGACTATACTATCGGCTCTTTCTCTATTCAGGGCTTAGTTAGGCATACATTCAACGGTATTAGGATATACTGAAACGTATGTGTTGTGTATGTGTGTATATGTACTGTATATAGTGTTGGTAATTTTTTGCAATTCAATTTTCGATTGCCGCAATTGCTGAAAATTGCTTGAAATTGCTTGAAATTGCGCGCATGAGGGAATGTATAAAAATTAACTTTGACAACGTTAAAAATTTGATTTACTATAGATTAAGATAATTTACTAATTTATTATTATTTTTAACATGGTTTTAGATGGCAACATTTTATGATAAAATGATTAAAATTTATATAATTAATTTATGTTTTTATTCATATTGCTTTACCATTTAAATTTTGTTAATTTTTAAAAAATTATAAATTGTTCTATGTTACAATTGCGATTTTCGCAATCGAGCTTTTTGCAATTGCGGCAATTTCACGCAATTTCCGACCAATGCAATTGCGCATTTTGCAATCGGTACATCACTAACTGTATATGTGTATATAAATATATGAGTGACACACAATGCACTCGTCAATAATAATGTAATATGTGTTTTGAATTGAACAGCTTTTTTGAGCTGAAAATTATGATTACTATTAGACAACTATTTGAAAAAAAAGTTTCTCAAATAAAAAAAATTATTTCATTGTATGCGCGTATGTCTGTGTGTGTGTGTGATGAACATCATTGTGCCGATAAGCAGGTCATACAAAATAGTCAATACACACAAAAAAGGCATTTAATAATTTTCTGATGATTTGACATCACAATCGTTAGCCATTTGATGGCTTCTCTCTCTCTCTCTCTCTCTCTCTCTCTCTCTCTCTCTCTCTCTCTCTCTCTCTCTCTCTCTCTCTCTCTCAATATTTGCCAACACATTAACAAAAAAATTGATAGTTTAACTGTTATTTATCTCTCTATCTCTTATATAAATTTATATATCAATAGTTTAGTTTATTATTAATATATCATTCGCTGCTAATAGACATTGAAATGTAATCTAATTTATCTTTTTATTTTGAAATAAAACTAAAATAATATTAAATGACATTTTTTAATATACTATTTATTGATTATAAGCACTTTACCTTTACATTAGCGATATATTTATAGCTAGTATTTAACTATTATTGTTATTATTATCATTGATACTCTGTTAATGTAATGTTGAGAAAATGCTTTCCGGGTTTATGTTACACAAGTCATCCTTCAAAAAACAACTAATATTTTATTATTTTTATATAATAATTATTATTTACTCGACTCGTCTCTCTCTCTCTCTTTGTGTGTCTCTCTTAAACATTACAAAATACATGTGAAAAACAATTAGTTTGTTGTTTTAAAGTGAGGTTTTGTTGTTGTTTTTTTGATACTTTTTTATATATGATATAATTTTGATAAACTATTTTCTTGTTATTGACGATTGACCCGCTAGTTAATGGTCTCAGACCTCCTTTATATACCCAAATAAAAATCAATGTTGATATCAATTATAGTAATAATATTATTATTATTATTATTATTATTACTCTATGTTTGGCCTAATAGTTGTCTTCAAATAAAGAGATGTTCACTTAATTTGCGTCAAGACTTTTAGTTAGTAACCCGAGTAATAACTGATGGATAATAAGTAGAGACCAAACTGAGTGACTGTTAGTGACATAAGGTTTGACTTGACTTTTCTGTTTTCTTAATGATTATTATATTTTGTGTCACAACTATTAACTGACTTTTAAAAAGATCTCTCTCTCTCTCTCTCTCTCTCTCTCTCTCTCTCTCTCTCTCTCTCTCTCTCTCTCTTTCTCTGTCTGTCTTCCCAACAGTTGGTTCAGTCAATGACCCACTAGTAGTAATAGTAGTAGTGTTTGGTAGTTATGTGTCCGAACCAGATATGTATGTCATAGACATACACATAGGAAACTATTTTTATTGCAGCACTGGGAGTGTATGTGGTAGGGTTGGCCTCTCTCTCTCATATCATCAAAAAATATTTGTCACTCATTATAATCAAATGTTTTAAATTGAATGAATGTATGAATGAATATCATCAGTGAGTTTATCTAAACTACATTTCACATCGATATGAGTGATGGTATTTGATGTTAGCAATAATGTTTAGCCCTATTTTTCTTCAATGACTGCCAAACCACTGAAAATTTATATTTTATTTTTTTAATTATAGTAATATAATATAATCACTTAATGAGTTCCTGACTGTGATGTAGGTTTGCACCAATTGATATGGTATGTCATACACATACATATCGATACCACACTATTGCTACTACTACTACTAATAGTATATTATTATTATTATTACCTCTACTAAAGCAGCTGTAATCCAATATCATAGGACATAACTGATTTGATTATTGATTATACAGTGTTTTTGTTGGTTTATAAAAGATGTGTAATTAATTTGTTTAATAATATATTAAATATGGACTCACAAAATGTTAGCCTAAATTTAATGACAAATATCTTTGGTTAACCGTTTAAGGGGTTTTTGTAATTAAGATCATAATAGTATACCGTATAAGCAAATCATTATAATAATAATAATAATCCTAATATATATCATATATCTGACTCTAATAATATAATAAATGACACTTAATATATGCGATTTGGTTATGGGTTTTATTCTATGTATTGGTTTGGTAGGCCTACCCAATGCTATCTTATCCATTGGACTCAGTCATCTAAATTTGATTAATGACATGATTTATTCAGTCAATGAGTTGTAATTAATAGGTATTGGATTTCTTTAGTTATGATTATTTACAGTAATGAAAATACGGGGACTGACTGACTCTCTCTCTCTCTCTCTCTCTCTCTCTCTCTCTCTCTCTCTTTCTTAAATGCAATGACTGGTTGGTTAAGTTTTGACTTGAAATGAGGTATCGGTTCGGCCAGTGTTTGATAGTGTATTGAAGAGTCATTGCATTCCTGCTGTGATTATTGCCATTCACTCCATAAAGATCACTGTCTAAGACATATATATATATATAATGGTGCGGTTGTGTGTGTATATATGAATATACTGTATTGTGTGTGCAGTACACCATATCTTAAGACAACAACCACTACCACCAGTGCTTTCTGACCACTGACTTTCTGGTGCTCATTAAGACTACTCATTTGTCACTGTCATGAGTTGCGACCCCTCAGGAAGTTTTAAAAGATATCGACTCAACCATTGATCCACAATTGCCTTTCATTTCGTTAGTGATGATCACTTTCACGTGAATTCATTAGTCGTATCTAATTTGAAAGTCCTGTGCTCTCTCTCTCCCTTTCCTTCAAAATCCCTTAAGTGAACTCAAAAAAGACTACTGACCGCTACTCTCTCTCTCTCTCTCTCTCTCTCTCTCTCTCTATTGCTCTCGCATTCACACACACACACACATAGACTCTCATTCCCAATCACTTTTGAGATCCCTGTGCTTTAAGGTTGGCTCAAATGGTGAGCAAATAATAAATGGCATACCATTCGGTTGCAACACTTTTTGATCTCTGGATTTCCGTACCATTTCACTGATGGATAGCATAGCTATCACACACTCGCTCTCACAAATGTCTTGCTATACTTTATATATATATATGTGTGTATCGGTCACTGGGATTTACTTTTATTTTATTTTTTTAAATAGATATCATTGATAAATAAAAATGTTTATATATCTATTTATTTTATAAAATTTATACTACTATAAACAGTTGGATGTTTGACGTTTTATTTTCCCAACAAAAAAATGTTATTGTTTTGATTGTTTTTTTTTTAAACAAAAAGGTTTTAAATGTGATACTACTGTGCAGTATATGTTTAGTGTGTAAAGTAATGTAAGTTAGTGTTATGTGAAAAGTTTTTAATATCCATAATAATATTAGCAACAACTTAAATTGTATAATAAACACATTAGTTGTTTAAATCATTAAAGCACCCCCTATTTTTTTAGTAGTGATGTGACACAACATTAATATATATATTTTTTTGTCGTTTTTTGATCAATAGATATAACGGTGCGATTCAATTGCCCACACAATCACCATCGCTATCAACACATTAGTTAGTTAGTGATTATCACTCAACAGTAGCAGCACATCGTTGTTGAAGATGTCTCACACGATAAGCACCTGTATCTACCTGTTGAGTCTCATCCTATCACCTCTGGTGGTGACGCTTACCTCATCTACAAGAACTGGTATGTGTTTTGTTTTGATTTTTTATATTATTATTTTTTTTTATATATATATATATACATTCATTATATTATTTTGTTATCAAATCATCAGATATCTCTACCCATATATATTAATATATATAAACTAGCTTTTTATATGCGCTCTCTTTATAATTGTTATATTGTGATATCTATCAGTTTGTTATACAATTTTTATATAAATTATATACAGTAAATATATATCAAGTATTACATTTTATAAATAGTTTATATGCACAAACACATACATACATACACACAGTGTTACACACAATACACACCTACTTAGATAATGCAATTTCATTATTAGACAATTTGCATATTATCTAATATTATTATTTAAATGCATTATTATACTGTATATAAATATACTGTTGCCCTATTGATTTTATGAAACAAAATTAATTATTTTTGCACATAATTAGTTGATATATGATTACCATTTATTTATAGTATAGTATATGCTCTATACACATGCGATACAATTATAAGTGTTTTGATAATACAACTTTTTTTTATATTTGCATTTAAATAAAATAAAAATTGCGTTTTGCTGTCTATTATCCCTTAAAACTATTTTTATAATAACAATTTGAAAAAAATAAATTAAATCAAATTTTACTTTATTTTATTGTTTCTGATGTTATGTATAATCATATAATGTTTACAGTAGATTATCAAAACAATTTTTGTTATGCATGATGTGTGCAACAAATTTAATTATTTTTTTGTGTTTTTCATTTTGTTTAATGTTTTTTTACTTATATAAATATAAAAATATTTTTAAAAATATCTTTTCAAATAGATATAGATTTTTATCTGTATTTATAAATATAAAGGTACTTAGTTTTTAAAATTGTTTTTATCATTATGTTTGATCTTAATATTATAATCTAATAGTATGATATAACATATTGAATATATACAGTGTTACAGTATAAACACGCGTTATATTTTAAGTATGATTTATTTTATTTGAAATTATTTAGTATTTTTTGACCTGAAGTAAAAATGCTATATATATATAATATTTAGATAAGGTAGAAATATTATTTAGTTATGTAGCACCTAGTTGATGGAGAAAATATTATCTAACATTATCAATAAATATATGTGATTTTTATATATATTTATATAGAAAGTGATAAAAAATAAAATGAAATTTTTTTATCACAAATGTGTTGCTGATTTTAAAATCAGGTATATATATATATTTATAGATATTTATATATATATATATATATTACTTGAGGTGTAGTAATAGTTATGATACGTTTCGTTGGCTTTTGCAATCTATTTTGTTATTTATTATTATTATTATAATAATAATAACACTATTTTCCGACTGTTATTACGGTCTCTCACACTGTACTACCGAGAGTCTCATCAAATGATTTATTATTATTATTATTTTTTATATATACTGAATATTATGAGTCGACAACAACATCACCATCGCATCACATTTTAATACATAACACTGCGATTTCATGCCATCTCTAACCATACCATATATGCTATATGTTTACTAATATAGTATATGCTGTATATGTATTATATTATATATAATATATATCGAATCGATAGCTTCGGGCGATCAGAAATCAGAAATATTATTATTATTATTATTTTAGAAGTAATACTACTCTTTTTTAGTCACTGAAGACATCCTCGCATAAAACTACAAGTGCTATGTATTAGTTGTGTTTCATATAACGTTATATGAGATTTAATCCCAAACATCGGCCGAACCGACCGATTATTTGAAATTCAATTCGTCTCTCTCTCTCTCTCTCTCTCTCTCTCTCTCTCTCTCTCTCTCTCTCTCTCTTTAATCATGTCTTTCCCTATCCCAATGGAAAGGCCATGTTTTGCATAACAACATACAAAAAAACCAGATACCAAAACCAGTCTTACCTCTCATGTAATGAACCTTTTTTTTTCGGTGGCAATCGGTGTTAGCACTCAACTACCAACTCTCCCCTCTCTCTCATCATATTTATTATTAAAAGCACTTATTTTTCTAATTAAATGCCAATACTATTGTATGATTATAACAGTTGGTATATAAAAACAGTAGACCTAAAGGTAGAAATGGTTACTTTAATTTTTTTGTTATCATGTTTTCTAATATTAGATATAAAAATTTTTATATTTTTTTATATGTTATTTGTAGATAAAATGTGATATAAAATATAAAATAGAGATTCAAAGTGAGTACAAAAAGCTCATTAGATATAACATTGGATTCGAGAGAAAGGTCTGGCTTTTTGGTGGGGAAACAATTGAATCAATTTATAGCTTCGGGTTATTAAAGATAGAGAGAAAAAACTCATTCACTTTAAAGAAAAAATATTTTCAAAAAACAATTTTTGTTACAAAATTTTTATATATTGTATTTTTCATTTAATAATAATAATACACATATAACACATACATAGCTTTGTAGACCTTGTTTTATATATATATTGTTAAACGCTATATAAAATGTTATGTAATAATAATATTATTATTACTATTGAATTATTATATCAATTTTTCCTTCGCTTCAACCGTTCAATGCCTTTAATTAAGATTTTTTTTTTTATATTCCCAACAAAATTGTATGGCTTTTGAGATAATTTGTGTGTTCAGTGCAGAGAAAAAACTAAATGAAACACATTTGAGAATTAATTTTTAAAAATATAGTTTAGTTTTTAAACTTATTCTCAAAAGGATTTTCTACTAAATTTGCGTTTCAAATATTTATTTATTTTTTTGATTAAATATTTTTAACTACTAGTTAGTTAACGAGAGAGAGAGAGAGAGAGAGAGAGAGAGAGATAGAGAGAGATGTAGTAAATTTAGCGCTGAAAAGTAATTACATATAATATGATTTTCTTTAATACTTGAGATTCTCTCTCTCTCTCTCTCTCTCTCTCTCTCTCTCTCTCTCTCTCTTTCTGACAAACAAACGTCTCATTTAGTTTTGTTACACAGATGAAGAAAGAAACAATAACTTTGAACACTATGTTTCTAATGATATTTAGTTGTGTGTAAATCATATGTATTTTAATCGCTTTCTGATTCATTGAATCACATGTCTGTCCCCTTAAAAAACAATGACACCAAAAGAAGATAAGTCAATGATATTAAATATCATTGGTATTATCATCTATTGGATCCCCTTTTTTTCTTTGCCTCAACAAACTTACACACACTAACTGCTATCTAAATGATAGTATCGATGCTTTCAGATAATTGCCAGTCATTGTTGTTTGATGTCAATCTTGATGGTAATGTTGTCTAAAAATTGCAGTGAATTTGTGATACAATTGTATGTTTTTAACGCTCAGAAGTCTTAAGAAAAACCAAAGAGAGGGGGAATGTCAGCCATAAAAGCAATGACTTTCTAAAAACATATACCATTTGACTATTAGTTTTGTGGTGTTTGTGGGCTCACTATATTTTGAGGAGGGGTGGGGGCAAAATTATTGAAACCATTGACAGTACTATTGGGCTCAATGATGATGAAGTACTGGCGAAAAAGCTATTATCGTCCATCTGTAACACCAATGACACCATAATTGCAGATCACATCAAATTTTATCATTTTCTCCGGCAATCATATATGAAAAACCACTTTTTGTTGACTTTTTTCAGGTCTTTTACACTCAGCACACAAAACAACTACCTTTCCGTTTACCTATTTTAAAGCCATATCCTGTATTACATATATATAATACCTATCTATATCACTTATAAATGAGTACCCCTCATACCCAAACGCCCCCTCCTCTCAATAACATAAACTTTATTCACTTGATATCTAATGATATGACAAAATTGAGAGCTTTTGGCCCAAAGACTGATAATGATATACCAGTTATATTACAACTGATCACTAGTTTAGGCTTTCAAATAAGTATTGGTGTGTCTATCTATCTATATATCTGTAGGGGTATTGTTGGCCATCATTTTTATGCATCACTTTCTGCAAATGAGGTTTGCTTTTTTTTGGCCGATCATTTTTTTCGGTGACACTAATAATGATAGTGTTTTAAGAGAGTATTTGTGCGAAAAGATAGTGAATGTGCGGCACAAATGGTATCTCAAAATGTTTGGTTCTCTGGTTTTTGGCTGAAAAGTTGTTTACCTGTCAAATGTGTCATTTAATCTCTCATTTTTATATATATACCGGGAAAGTGTACACAACTTAAGCAAAAAAATAGTATATTTACTTCATATATATATATACTGTATATATAGTTAACAACTTTTCCCACAGTTTGATGCAATTGAAAATATTATTAGTTTTTTGCATTATAATTTTTGATGTGTTATATCATATCATAATATAAATTTTATATACAATATATATATCGTTATATAAATTATGTTTTGCATTCTTTGATGTTGGCAATTAAATTTGTGCAACAATTTTATGGATAAGTGTGCAAACATTGAAGTTTATATATATATATTGAAATCCCAAACGACATAAATATTTTATTATGTTTTTATATATCATATGTACTCTGTATATATATATATAATGCTATAAAGTTTAATTATAAATTTATAATTTTCTGCATATTTTTATTGTAAAAGTCTATCATATTTACTGTATATACAAAATAAATTTAGTATATATTATATAAACAAAAACATATTTTTTGACTTTAGTATAACGAGAAAAATCATTTTTATTTAACAAAAATATTTTTCGCATAAATATGTTTTTGTTTTCCAAAACATTTTATCATATTTTTATAACACAATAACATATGATTTGCATTTGTATTACTTTATATGGAAAATGTTTATAATATTAGTAATTATCTACACTTTTATGAGACCCTCACTATATATATATATATAAATTGTAATTTATTTATTATATGATATCTATGATATGGTCTAACGTCCGGGCGCTTTTTTGAAAAGTGCCAAATAATTGACGGCTTTTTCAAAGCCATATATAATCAAAGTGATGGTAGTGTCCTATCACTCAAAAATGTATTTTTTCTTTTAATATACAATTGATATTCAGATTTTATAAATATTTTTTTGCCGTAAAAACATAACAAAAAACTCTCTGTTGTGTTGTTGTTATAAATATATTGCATACATAACACATACCATTCAATTACAAAAATATTATTCAACTTATATTTTAGTTTTTTTGTATTGCATTTCTTTATTGTTGAATCGTTGAGGAGTTGTACCTTCTCTTCAATTTTGGTGTCGATGCGATGCCCTCGCGATCAGTAATTAACCATCAATTGCCAGCCCTGTTCTGTCTCAGCCACGCACAGGGAGATAGCAGATAGTAGTAGTCAATACGGGACTAGAGATTTTGCTTATTGATATCAAGCAAAATGAATTGAATTTAACAAAACCAGTGATAGACTACTACTACTACTACTACTCTCTCTCTCTCTCTTTCTCTCTCTCATCTCATTTCAATATATATATATCTAACTCACTCATAGTATATGCCTATTCTCCCTCTACTTTCTCTCCCATTCCTATCAAATCATATTTTGTTTGCAAATCACGAAATCTTTTATATTGCTCTCCTTTTGCTGTCAGTTCCTATTCACCTATGGCTGGGCTCTCACCTCAAGAAATACACTGTTGTTGAATATATATATAAAGTGAACCCCAATTTTCTGGGATAGTGGGGGTCGACATTACTTATTATAAAACATTATTATTATCATTATTATGTATTATTGGTTATATATTATATATATTTTTTATTTTGATATATTGAAAAGCATTTTCACCTCAAAAAATAGCCACTCTTTTCAATGCCTCATTCATTTTCAAATGACTGCCTCCTCTTTCACACAATGTTTTCCACTGTTTTTAGGTTTATTATGGTTTGGAGTTTTGACTCCTTTTTGATTGCAATAATTTTAATGTGAACTGAATTATCGCAATTTGATTTTGATGTATATTATGATAGAGTAGCGGAAAATATAGAAAGAAGAGAGAGAGAGAGAGAGAGAGAGAGAGATAGAGAAAGTAAAATAAAAATAAGCAAAAACTAAACAAAAAATCTTATTTGACTTTTCAAAACTATAATTCAAAAACACATGATTGACTTGACTTTAATTGGTTTAATTTTAATTGACTTATCTAATAATTTTAATTTCAATTCAAAACGCTTTAATATTTATTGCCAGACAAACATAACAACAAAATAAAGGTTTTTTACAGAGTATTTGGATTTTACAGGCAAATGAAAAGTCAAATTATATATAAAAATTATTTAAATATACTGTATATATATATATTTGCAAATGTTTTTTTATATATCATTAATAATTAACGTGTTTTCGTTTCAGTTTTATATATCAGATACTGTTTTATAATTTTGATTGCAAAACAAGAGTGAAAATTCTGTAATTACTTTATATTTATTTAATTTTTTGTTTGCAATTTTCCAAGAATTTTTGCTTCTCCTACTCAACTCAAATAAGAGACTGTCATTTGCGATGACAGGACAACCACTTTATGGGTTATTATTATTATTATTATTAATGTAATGTCAGTATGTTTTTAACAAAACTTGTTGATACTGACAATTAGTGTTGAGTTTTTCATTTCATTTCATTTTTTTGAAACAATTTTAAAAAGAGAAAACATTTAATTATATTTTTCTATCGCCCTTTACCTCCCAACCCATCATTGAATTTATTTTTTTTAAATGACTTTTTTGTTGCTCTGTGTCAGCGATAAGCATCTGAAACAAACTGAAGAAACAATTATCTTTCAAATAACTGAGATCTTAAAGATTATTACAAATGAAGGTTAAGATAGTCAACGAAAGGGGCGAACATGAGGTCCATATATATAACCATAAGATATCAGTTGTATATATGTGTTGTATGTCTTAACCAAATTGATTGATTGTATTGATTGTCTTGTCGAGCACTTAGCCTCCAAATTGAGCGTTCATTTAGTTTATATGTACAACTAGTAGTAGTAGTACTATATGGGCACTGGTATTGCTTGGGCTGACACACACAACATAGTCAAACATTTATATCTTTGAAGAGAGAGAGAGATAGAAAAATGGTAGTTAAGATTTTGGGGAACAGTTATACTGACGATTAGATTCAATTCAATTTGTTATGGAATTAATGTTTTCTTTTATTGTCTATTACTTCTTGAAGCTGTTCCCCATATATTGCCATTGCTTATACTGTTAACAATCAATACTCAGATTTAGCAAATGTATGTACAGTACAGTACTACTACTAAATGCCAACTGTCCCCTCTCTTCTCTATCTCCTCTGCCATACAGTACCTCCCAGTGCTAACTTTGATAGGGGATGTACTGTACTGTATAGTGATTTTTGTGGAACTATAGTTAACTGTTAGGCACTACAAACTGGTATAATATAAAGTTGATGATTATTGTGATGATGATGTACTATGTTGTAAGTGATGTGAAGACACAATTACCGAACAATATGTCATAATAGCGATGCCATTGATTATCATTAGTTGATTAACTGACTGAAAAGGCAATGAAATAACTTTTATAGAGATATTTCTTATATATTATTATTATTATTATTATATCTATCTTTAGCTCTACATATATATTGATTGAGACATGAATTTGACTTTTATTTCATTTAACAACACATTAATCGATGTTTTAGTTTATTTATTTTTTTTGAAGACTTAATTGCTTTTTTCTTTATTATCATTTCATCAAAAAAGTCTTTCATTTGCTATTGTCTTCACATCACAAATGAACGGATAAATTGAAACATTGATTTGTAAACACAATTGAAATACTTGGAAAAATATCGACTAATCTAAAGATAATTGATTTTTTGTGTTTTATTATGTTATATATTGTATTAGGTTTTTATTGTTGTATGAGTTAAAACAAAATTCATTTTAAATGCATTTTAATTTTGCCATAAAATTGAATTACATTTTATAATATAATATTAAATTTATTGTTTAACAAATTGATAGCTATATTGACATACTATATAATTTTAGTAATTCTAGTTTATTGTATTGAAAAATTTAATTTTATATAAAAAAATATTGTATAAATAAATTAATTGCATTTTATTATTTGTTTGTTTTAGGAGCAATCAGTGTCCGACCGCCTCGTTATCGGACACTATATGCCTGCGAGGGATCAGCACTTGAGATAATCTGTGAAGAAGGAACTCATATAAACCTAATTCGTGCCAATTTTGGTCGTTTTTCGATATCCGTGTGCAATGATAACGGAAACGTCGACTGGAGAGTCGACTGTATGTCTCATCGGTCGTTCCGAGTGATGCAAGAAAGGTATGTAAAAGCATACCTGTCCTACACAGCTATTAGTGGACTTTCTAAAGATATCTACTTTTACTCGAGTTGACAGCTTATGGTGCAAACAAACAATCTCTCTCTCTCTCTCTCTCTCTCTCTCTCTCTCTCTCTCTCTCTCTTCATAATAAACTAAACGATCACTTCTTTAGATAATTTGCTTATCATTCGTTCATTGAGTGGTTTTTCAAATTGAATTCATCGGCTAATTGAAAATAAAATAGTTTTAATGGCGAATATACATATATATATATATGGTGTATATAAATATACTGTATATTCATATGATTAATGACTTTTTTCTAGTATTGGATTTTATAAGTGATATCACATCAAAACACATATTTTTTTAGTGGCGTTGAAGAAGAAGAAGAAAAAACGCAAACATTGCATAAACTGATTGCTAAAATCAATTGAATGACTATTTTTTGTTTGTTTCTAAAAAGATCTCATTTGATGATTATATGATTGTATTTTTCATTTTAGAAAAATAGTTATTTAAAAAAATCTAAATGAGTATTGATTGCACCATAAAGTTGTTTGTTTTTGCTTTTTCAAATTTTGAAAAAATATGTATTTCATATTTTTAAGTATATATACACAGTATAATACTGTATATAAAGTGTTTATTTTATTACTAAAAATTGTTATTATTTTTTATTATTATTGATTAGCTGTGGTATGAAGAGGTCGTGCAAACTGCCGGCTTCTGCCAACATGTTTGGTGACCCCTGTCCGGGAACATTGAAATACCTGGAAGCCCACTACCAGTGTATGCCTGGTATGTATAAGTTATATATATAATCTTTTTGACATTTATTTGGTTTTATTTCGTGTTTATCAAATTGAAACGATTATTGAATGGTTTGCTATTTTTTTTTATTATTATTGCAATTTGATTCAAATCAATCGTTTCAATTGGAAAAAAAAATTAATGGAAACTATTTATATATAATATAACCATATCTTGTCTTTAATCGAGTGCTTCCCTAAATAATAATAATTGATTTGTTTGGTCACACCATTTACACAGATAACGCATCGCCCTATTCAACAGCCCGTCCACCGAACCATTCATTTAGAAATCCAATTATACCGTCGTATGAGTCCGGAGCTGATAGTAGTATTAGTATTAGTAATAATAATAACAACAATAATAATAAGCCATCGTTTGAGAGCACCGGTGCTAACTCTTCGCCTAATCCGAGAATCATATTTCCGGAATCGTATAATCCGTCACAAATGATGCCATTCCCGGCCATTGAGATGGACAGTGGCAAAGGACAGGGATCAGAAGTTAGTCAAACGGAATTTAAGACCAAACAGTCGATACCAAACAATAGTGATAATAGCGCACAACAACCTATCGATGCTTATCCAAGAATTAATGAGAACGACATCCCACCACCGGTTAATCCGCCGATTATTTCCGATAATGAAACGCCTCTTATTAATACTGATAGCGATAAAACAGGTGTCAATACTAATAATAGAGGAGATAATAGTAATAATGCCCATCAATACTACTCATCGACACCGGAAAGCAAATGGATTACCAGTGGATCAGATGCCGACTCAATCAATACTAATAAGCACAATACGATTACCAATAATAATAATAACTATATTAATAATAACATGAATAATGATAATAATGATAATTTAAACAACGATAATAACATAATGATTCATGAAAATAGCGACAAATTGGTTGATCTAACCATTGATCACTGTCCGCCTGCATTTTCCCGAGGTTTGTCCTGGAATTGGACATTAGCTGGTCATGTGGCCAATCAGTCTTGTCCGGCGGGTACTCAAGGATTGGCCCGTTGGTCATGTGTTTACTTGAATGGCAGACCTCAATGGACACAAATGAAAGCCGATATGTCTGACTGTTCTTCATTATGGGTCTCCCATTTGGAACACAGACTTAACTCAAAAAGCGAACCAATTGTCTCATTAGCCGATGAATTGGCCAAAGGTTGTCGAGAGAAGACATTGTTTGGCGGCGACCTCTTCAGAGCCACAGATATTATCAATCATTTGGTGCTCAGAACAGAAGGCATACAATACGAGACACACGACGAACAACAACGGAATCATGTCGTCAGAGAAATGCTAAATGTATTTAAAATTTTTATTTATTTTTTCAATTATTTTAGTTTGTCTTTAATTTTAATTTTTATTATATTATAACAGTCGGTTCAAGACATAGTCAGCAGTCTCTTAGACGATAGACAAGTGGAAGCGTGGAGTGATTTGTCAACCGATTACCAGAAGTCGGCCATCACTTCACAGATTAATGCATTGGAGAGATTAGCTCTTCTGTTGGCTGAAATCAAAACCCAAACCAGTGATTATCTAAGAGCTCATCAAAATATCTGTAAGAGATTAAGAAAATTCATTTTTGAAATTTATTTACTAATTTTTTTATAAATTTCAATTTGTTTATAGTTTTATCGATTCACATCCGGTCCATACAATCAGTAAGTCATGGCCTACATTTGCCACCGATTGTGGACACCATTGAAGAACTGCCAAATGCCGTAACACTTCACTCAAACAGCATCTATCTCTCACCGCAAACACTGACCGACCAGTCGACTGCTTTTGGTGTCGTAAAAGTGATTTTTGTTATGTATAAAAAGTTAGGACATCTATTAAAGCCAAAAACCGAAAGCACTGTTATGTTGGCCGCTGACGGTGGCCTACAATCACTTAATGTAAGCCGAGTTATAAATTCAGATGTATTTGGCCTACACTTGAACACCGAGAGATATACACAACTGAGTGAACCGATTGAGTTTACTTTGAAACACTTGATCACCGATAACGTAACAAACGCCAAGTGTGTCTATTGGGACATTGATCGCCGTGACTGGTCTGACCAGGGATGCTATACTATACGATCAAATCGCACCCATACCTCATGCAAATGCAATCATTTGACCAATTTTGCCATTTTGATGGATGTCAACAATGTTGAGGTATATTTAAATAGCATTTATCAATAAAATTGATTTAATTTTATTACTTAATTCTAACTAATTAAAAATAACAGTCATAGTCTCGAGGGTCTCGAACCCACTATTTCTAAATGTTTGTTATCTTTAATATTTCAAGATTTATACAATTCATTAATATGTTGTTAAGTTTTTTTTTCAAAACTATTATTTGTCAAAAAACATTTAAGTTATTTTATACGATATATAAACTTTTCTATCATCCGATAAATAACTTATATAACAAAACTTAAATAATATTTTTTGTTTTTCATTGCGTTTTTTGTTTGTTTGTTGATAACAGATCTCATCGGGCAATGAATTGGCATTGCGTGTCATAACAGTGATCGGTTGTACCGTATCTATCATATGCCTTACCATAACGTTTATCACATTAGTCTCATTCAGGTATGAAATGAAACAAAAACTACTCATTTATAGCGACAATCAATTTTTTAAAGATAAAATTTCAATTAACTTAAATATATTATTGATTAATAATAATAATAATTTTTTGCGACATATGATTGATAGGAGCTTAAGAAGTGTCCGGACAACAATCCACACCAATCTGTGCCTTTGCCTTATAATTGCTGAACTGATTTTCCTATTAGGTATGTGTGTCCACACGGATAATATTTTTTTTTAAAAATAAATGATAATAATATTAATTGATTTATTGATTATATATATATTTTTGATTAACTAAATTAGGCATAAATGAGACAAAAGTCAAACTGATTTGTGGTCTAATAGCCTGTGGTCTTCATTACTTCTTTTTGTCGGCATTTCTCTGGATGTTCTTCGAGGGCTTTCAGCTATATGTTATGCTTATTGAAGTGTTTGATCACGAAAAATCCAGAGTCAACTGGTATTATCTATTGTCTTACGGCGTACCCGCCATTTTGGTCATCATATCGGCCATCATTGATCCACTTTCATACGGAACATCCAAATACTGTTGGCTTCGATCGGATAACTACTTTATCTGGGCTTTTGTCGGCCCAGTAATAGCCATACTGTTGGCCAACATTGTATTCTTGGCCATTGCAATGACCACAATGTGTCGACACATACCGCACATTACGGCCAACAAAACCAAAGAGCAGACAAAACTAACGAATATCAAGTAAGCAAATCATGAAATCATTAATAATAAATAGATTTATAATTTATGTGAATAATGAATAAAACTGATAATTAATTAATTACTTACTTTTTTATACTTATAATATTAATATTATTATTGCATGAATCAATTGATTGGTCATTACTACTGACAAACTAATCACTGATTTTTCTCAAATTTTTCTCTAAACTGATTAACAATTTCTAAAAAAGTGGTGAAAATAGTCTCGAATTGAGGCGAAATAATCTTAAGTAAGAGTTTTTTACTTAAAATCTTTTATTTTATTAATGAAATATAAATATTTTACTAATTATTTTAATATTAAATAACTTTTACAGAATATGGATCCGCGGATCACTGGCTCTGGTATTCTTATTGGGGATTACCTGGAGTTTTGGACTGCTCTACCTGTCCCGTGAATCACTGTTTATGGCCTACTTGTTCACGATTTGCAATTCACTGCAAGGAATGTTTATCTTTGTCTTTAACTGTCTGACCAACGAAAAAGTCCGCACCGAATACCGAAAACTGTTTGAAGCTCTTAATCTGAAACCGGTTTGCTTGGACTCAACGCCATCCAAGTCGATGGACACAACACGCGAACAAATACCGTCATCTTCATTGACAACCGACCACAGAACCAGTCTTTATGTGAACAATACCGCCAATACAGGCGCTCATAAGGACGCCACAGCCATTAACATGTTTCCCGTCGCCAATGCTATCAATTGCGAGTCAATAGTTGGTACGGAAAGAATTGTCAACAATGCGGCACCAAATGGTGTCAATATGGGTGCTCTAATGATGGCCGCCAGTGCCGAAAGCCCGAAATTGCGACGAATGACACAAAAGTATTATCTCACAGACGACACATCAAGCGATTACGGCTGCAAACGATTGGCTCAGAGCCGATGCCCGAAGAATTCGTGTCGAGACTTATATGGTCTGCATTCGGCCGCACACTTGGCCTCACATTCGCCTAACTTTATCGAACACATCTACGAGTGCATCGATGAAGACCCATATGTGGCCAAACTTTTGTTGCCCGCCATTCAGCGATCACTCGATGGCCAACACGCGCGCACATTGAGTGACTCTTCGCGACACTCAGACAATAGACCACTTATATCGTGTTCAACGTCTTCACCGCGAAGTCATAACTTTCATATTCAAACACAAAATACAGGTATGTTTTAAAAAAATAGTTTAATTGTTAATTAGATATTAATTTTATTTTTATTTTTTTCAGGCAATCATTTGCCGGCAATAGTGAAGGATAATACAAATAACAAGACGACAATAATCTGTTCAAATCAATTGTCAAATCAACAACAGAGTCAGCCATCGATGGCCGTCCTCAACGGCAATCAAGTGATCTGCTGTACACTCAATGACCATCAACTCTGTGATCATAACATCCAACAACAACAACAGCCAATTGGCGCACATCTTCGACAACAGTATTTAGTGACAAATGGATTAAATAATTTGAATCACTGTTTGACAACAACTAAGTCTCGACATCTCACTAGTGATTGTTAATGATATGTCGGACAACAAACTGTTTTATTTTGTTTTTTTGTCGATGAAAACCCATACTTAAAGTGACAATTAATTCAAAAAACGATGTCTAATCAAAATTATTTATAAAAAAACAAAACAAAACTTTTTATGTTTGTTCAAAACTTAATACTGTTTTGAACTCAATTTACTTCCAGTTATTGTGATCTTTACATTAGATGATGGCATTTGATGGCCAATTCAATAATGATTACTGGATTTCAATACCTATTTGTGATATTTTTTCGAAACAAAACATTTTTATTTGTGTTTTTTTTGTAAAATTGTTTTTTACAAAACTATTTGGATTGTATTATCAATGAAACATAAATTGATAAAATTAATTGATTATTATAAGTATTAAATTAAAAAATACATATAAATTATATATATATATATAATTTGATTAAGTGCTCATCCATTCATTAAATGAATTGTAAAATATAATAATTAATTTTATAATGAGTTTATATTAAATAAACAATTATATACAATATATATATATATAAATTTAACTTATATTAAAAATAAATAATTGCCATGTAATGTAACTGTATTTTAAACAACACGTTTTTAATTAATTGTAAATAGTCTATATATTCAAATAATTATAATTATTATTATTATTTGATTAAATTATATCCTTTATAATAAGTTATTTTAATTGTAATATAAGATTCATATTTGAAAATAAATTAATAAATTGTTTAATATTTAAATCATTATATATATGTCTAAAAATTATTGCTTATAAATTAAAAAAAATATAATAATTTTATAATATACTGTAATGTATATAAAGTATAATTAAATTAACAATTAAATATATAAATGAAATACTTTTAAATAATTTTGATATACATTTGCAAAATGGTATAAACGGCGAGTCCTAACCACATACCTAATAGTCCGCCCAAATTAGATAACAGTGTGATTGTTGTCATTTCGGGGATGTGTTCAACAATTTGATCCATTTTTGTGTTGTGTTTAATCATAACAAACATTTTCTTTCTCCAAACTCTTCTACCGGAATATCTTTTAATATATTTATTATTAATATCAATGTTATAATTATTGACAATACACTCGCTATTACACCGATCATCGCATATATCCTCTAATGGTATTTGACATTTGAAACTAATATCATTGGGACATATCATACCTAAATATTTTGGTACAATTGTATTCTTAGCCAAACAATTACTACACGATTCAGGAGAAGCATGTGTGCCATTGTATGTAAAACAACATTTCTGATGTCTATACAGCAAACTTTGGCTTAAACACTGTTGTCTGCATTCAGATCGGGTGCGCTCCCGACCTCCCGGTTCACGATTGCCAGCGATATCGTAGTCGCTGCACATTGTATCGTATTGTGGCGGCAATCGTATGGTTTTGGTTACAGAGTAGCCGATAGTGTAGTCGTAATTAATATCTAAAGATATAAAGTCGTCCTTAAATAAGTCGTAAGGCATGACGTTTGGTGAGTGAACTAATAAGCGGATCCGTCCGTCATCAGTGTTCAAGAGGGCGGCGGAAACCATGAGTTGTTGTGATTGATAGTGAATCTAATGTCTTTAATATTTGTCATTATATTACGCCATTTGCTATTAAGTTGACTGAAAAATGTAAAACATTTAATACCAGTTTCAATGAAATTTTGAATCGACACAATTGGTTCAATATCTTTGTACTCAACTAACTGTCCCCTATTCATCGTATACGCAATAAATGTGTTAAACTTATAACTATTATATTTTTCAGTAATATTTTTATGATAAATATGAAAGGGAACCGTTAGGTCATCGGAATACAAATCATTTGAAGATATATTTTGCTGTTTATAGTATTCAATGAAATTTGAATAATAAGACTTCAAATTATGCAATAATTTTTGATTATGAATATCGCTGTCATTCAGTGAATCAATTATTTGCATATATTTTGTATAGTTTTCTCTTAATTCGGGGAATCGTTGGATCAATGCGTCCATACGTATGGCATAGGGATAGCACAGTGTTATGGCGGGTATATAATCGGGTTTTATTCTCTTAATTTTGATATTAACTATAGTTTTACCCATAAAATACTGATCCAACAAAATACTTGTGCTGTATATGAATAGTGAAATACATAAAACAAATATTACGGTTTTGACGACAAGTATTTTCTTCTCTTTGATTGACATTTGACTTAAAGAGAAGAAACGATAAGTTTCTTCAGTTTTAAACCAACTATTATTTACATCCATAAGCGCACCACTTGTCTAAAGTTACAATTAAATTATATATAATACTGTATAATAGTATATACTCTATATATGATATATAATATAACTATGTTTTTTAGTTATGATTATTTTGGTATATATATAATCTCTTGATATATTTGTTAACGTAAGATAAAATTAATCTAAAATAAATTATATATTAATTAGTGGATAAAAAATAATAAAAATTTACGTACATTTAGTTTTTTCTATTATATTTATTAATTAGATATAAACTAAGAAATAATAATTATTAAAATTATATTTATTGTTCTGCTAATTAAATTTAATTATTTTTATAAATTAATAATATAATGACATGGTTAGTTATAGTACTCTTGAGAAATAATAATTATTTTTTTAAGTTATTTAATTATAATAATATCATTTTAATAAGTTATAGCATTTATTTTGTTTACGTTTTACTATTGAATTATTTGTGTTTATATTGATTTTAATTTAATTGTTTTCATAATTACATTGGTTATTTTATTTATCGAAATATGCAAAAATAATTATTTTATATATTTTATGTATGCAATCAATAATAATTTTTATTAATTATTATATTTTGTTTATAATTTATTAAACAAAAAACCAAAAAACTATGTTTTTTCAGTTTTAAACCAACTATTATTTACATCCATAACCGCAACACTTCTCTCTAAAATTATTAGTAAATTATATATAGTATAATATAATATTATTAGAGATGGGCAAATAGAAAGTTTCTAATAAATTTCCGTGAGAAAGTTTCTAGAAAATTTCTCATGGATAAATTTCTATAGAAATTTAACTTTAATGTTATACTATGGGATCCCCATATCTATAGTTATTGTAATACCAGTATTTTAATAAGATATGATAATATACATATAATATCATACAGTATAATACAGTACTATACAAATGGGATACCTATAGATAAATATAATAATAATTATAATTATTTAATAATAATCAGTTTTTAAAAATTTTATTCATTTTATTATATACCGGTATATATCATAGTTTAATATAGTTTAATTAATTATTTTTTACTTTAATTAATAATTGAAATATTAATAATAATATTTAATGTATTGTTATATGATGGCAAATATCGAGATAATAAAATTAACATGGGGATCCCATAAATAGAAATTTCTTTTAGAAACTTTCTAGAAATTTCTCTATTATTTTATAAATTTCTCTTTTTTGCCAACACTAAATATTATACAAATATAATGTATTTTTAATATATCTATATTTTTTAATTGTTATTATTAACAAAAATATAGTTTTATATTGTATTTGTTAACAATTAAATAATTATATAATAAATTAATTTTAAAGCATCAAAAATAATAAAATAAAAATTTACATAAATTTCATCTTTCATTAATATATTTATTGTTAATTTAATTAAATTATTTTTAAATACTAATAATGAAATGATTCATAATGAATGATAATATGATTTTTACTGTATATTATTATAAAAATATTTTTGACATGTATAAAAGCAATAATTTTTATAAATAAATTTACTAATTAGTTTTCATAGACTTTGTCAATTTGTTATCTATTTTTAATTGTTTTTTTTATGTTAATAATAAACACAGCAATTGAATTATTTCATAATAAATTAGATATAATAAGTTGTATATAAATATTGATAAAAACATTGAAAAATAAAATAAACAGATAAATAGTTTTACAATATTTTCCAAAAACATTTGTTAAAGTTGTTGTTTTTATTGATTTTTAATTTAATTATTCTCATATTGAATAATATATAAATACTTTTAATATTTCTGATTAATTATTTATATATTTTTATTATAACAAATATACTATATATTATATTATATTATAAAAATATAATCTAGTTAATTTGACATAAATCTGTATTAGTTAACTAACATCTATAAAACTATACAATAGATTATTTTTAATTCTATACTTATATTTATTAGATATAATATAAGAACAATTTTGATTTAATAATTTTTAAGATTATATGTTAAAAAAACAAATAAATAAATTGAAAAAAATTGTTTTTTTATAACTTAATAAGTATTAGATTATAAATATATACTAATGTTTAATAAGAATGTTTAATGATATTTAAAATTTATAATATTAATAAAATTAAAGAAAACAAAAAAAACTCGTCAATTGTCGGATCTATTTCTATAACAATAATCGATCGTTTAGTCGGTGATGTAATCGGTTTGTTGTCAGCCAAAGATTCAATAATCAGGTCCAACATTTTATTCTTGACATTGGTATCCAAAACATAATCATCGTTGTCTTCATTCAAATCAATAACAATTAGAGACTGCAATTTGCAAACAACTTTCTCGAAACTCCGACACGAATGCCACCGATCAGCAACTCTTTCGCCACAATTGTCACAAATGGTAACTCTGATGACCGACACATCAAGTGGTAGACATTGTTGCAGATATAGTCTCGACAGCCATTCAATTCCAGTCTTGAGTCTTAATTGTCTCTCCAGACGTTGTCTTCGTGTGAATGTATAATAAAAATATTTTCTATTATATTGTTGTTCCAGTTCTTCAACGATTGTCTTCTCGTAAATGTTGGAAGATTTCCAACGATTCAGTTCTGTTTCAGTCAAACAAATCAAAGTTTCATTTCTTGAATATCTATTCATTTCAGTGCTTTTGTTGGCCATCTGTTGGATCTCATTGTGTGATAAACTTTTAATGTTCAGAGTTGTAGCCAAAAACACAAACATTTCGGATGTAAAGTCAAAATTGGAAACAAATGTCAAGAGTCGCTTGTTTTGATCCAATCGTCGTTTCTTTTCATTATTTAAACCATTTTTATCAATAGTCTGTGTATTGGCTTTTC